CCCCAAAACCCCAAAACCCCAAAACCCCAAAACCCCATAGGTTTAAAATTAAAGCTATTTGAGAGACAAAGGAGCAGTTTTAAAATATTTCTATTTTGTAAATTAATGAATAAAATAACCATTATAATAATCTTCAGTATTTAAGAGGTTACTGCTAATATCCTATTCAAATCAAAATATGTTTTACTTAAATTTCTCATAAGTTTTATTATCATTTTTGTACTTATTAATTTAGTCCATCAAGAATGTCCTAAATTAGGAAAGATTACTGTTTTCTTCTTCTAAACTACTCCCTGCATCACTAAATTCTACTTCATATTTGTCAATTCCGCTTTATGTACGCCCACTATTCAAACTATCATATAAATCTTAATCCTTAGATTTAACATAGCTGGAATCACTAGTTTCCAAAAGTCTCCTAATCTTCTCAGTTTCAGTGTCTTTTTAAAACTTAATTGTAGTTTACTTCTTTCTTTTTTTGTCTGTATTCATTGTCATTGATATCTTGGTATGATGTAAATTGGAGGAATGATAGAATAAGTATAGCATAGTAATGCCAATGAAAAAATCTATGATAGAAATGAAAATATATCTATGTATGTCAAGAGCAATATCAAATCTATCATCCTTTGAAAAACTCTAATAGAGACTTATTGACCATCTCAAGTTTCTTGATAATGCAGCAAATAAAGTTAGAGAAATGGCCCAGCCTATCACAAATTTGTTAAGAGTTGTAAATTAAGAACCTTTCATTCTAATACTTTCAAATTTTTCTTTTGTAAAAAATATCATTAAATTAATTGCAAAAGTTGACATTAATATATCTATTAAAAACATTATGATCCTCACAGCATTGTAACCTGAATATAATAAAGGAGTATTAAGATTCAAATCATTGTAATCCATTGAAATTTATCTTATTTGGAAAAATATCATTATAGCATTCACAATTAGAAATATTCCTAACACAAAAAATCTAATAAACTTAACTTTTTAGTAATTTTGTCGACTTTCCAGGTAAGAATTTGAGCGTAGACAGAGCTTAACGGATAGCATTTCAAAAATAAAGTAATAGAGAGCAAATGTCTAAGAAAATGTTGCCAAAAAATCAAATAGATAGAGACACCTCATTAGCTCTACTTCACTAGAATAGAGGCAGAAATTCACAATCCAGTTTAAAACTCGAATTAGAAAACTTAACCCTTAGAATATTATAGTTACAATAGCAGACTTGTCAAATTTGAATCGATTTCTGAGTAAAACATAAGTAGCTGCAATAGTATAAAGTACAAAAGATGTAGCTTAAATTGCAAAACTAGCATAGTTTAGAGCACTAGAATCCATTAATTTAAAGTCTTTTATATAATAATTTAGTGATCATTTTTCATTATTTATTAATTTTTAAAAATCAGGATCTCTAAAACATCAAATTCTACTTTGCCTTATGGGGTTTTGGGGTTTTGGGG